TCATACACTATGACATTCATCTCCTCCTGTCTGAGATGTGACTGATGAGGAGGCTAAGAGGCTAGTTCCTGGTCAGCTGTGTAGCCCAGGGAATGGCACTACTGGTGTTTTGGGCTAGAGATTCTTTGTTATGGGGCACTTTCCTGTGCACTGTAAGTACAGATTGTATAACTTAGCAGCATCTTTGGCCTCTCCCCACTAGATACCGGTAGCAACCACTACCCCTTCTACTCCCTAGGTAGGGACAACAAAAACGTCTCCAGGCATTGCCAAATGTCCTCTGGGGGACAAAATCACCAATGTTGGTAAACCTTTGATGTAGACCGATAACAGTGCTGGGAGAACTCTGACAGAAAAGGAAAACGTGACTCAAACCCACTGGGAAGCTGTGGTTGCTGTCCTACATCCTTGAGTAGACTGGTGCCACGTGTGGTCTATGAGTCTTATGAGACTGAATATTTCATTGGATCTAAGAAAATCCCCTAATGGGCATTGCAATTTTTTTTTGTTTTAAGTTATCTGTATTTAATTTCTGAATCTAGTTCTTTTATGAGCATCGTTTCATATCTATTTGTAATTTTAAATATGTAATATAAAAAGACAACACCGCGATCCATGAGAATTTTTTTCTCCTTGAAAAGGTGGTCTGTTACTCAGGTTTAAGCAACACTGAGTTAGGCTGAGTCATGTTTTCTGTATCAAACTAGGCAAATAACCATAATGACACAAAAACCTATTTTTTTTGTTTTAAGACGGAGTCGAGTGCAGTGGCGTAATCTGTGGTCACTGCAAGCTCTGCCTCCCAGGTTCACACCACTTTCCTGCCTCAGCCTCCCGAGCAGCTGGGACTACAGGCGCCTGCCACCATGCCTGGCTAATTTTTGTACTTTTAGTAGAGACGGGGTTTCACCTTGTTAGCCAGGATGGTCTCGATCTCCTGACCTCGTGATCCGTCTGCCTCGGCCTCCCAAAGTACTGGGATTACAGGCGTGAGCCATCACGCCCGGCCACAAAAACCTATTTTAAAAAAGGTCTTCATTAATAAAAGTTAAAAAATTAGACCTTAGTATCAGCACTAACCTTATTTGAAATCTGATGTAGTCTGAGATATTATGCCTATCATTACTGTCTATACTTTTTCTTTCAGTTGTGAATTTTTTTCCTTTTTAGCCACATAATCCCATTCTATTGATAGCTAGTATTAACCTAGTAGTAATAACAATATAGTAGTAATAACTGTGAAGATAGCACAGACTACTGAAGTACAGTGGAAATGGTAGATTTAGAGCTAAAAGAGCTGGGTTTGAGTCCTAGCACTGTCACTCTCTGGCTAAGACATTACCTAGTTCACTCAATTTCTAGATTTCTTAGCTATGAAATGAGGGCAAGATAGCACTCAACCTCATCAGTTTGTTATAGTAAGCGAGCTAATATACAAGACAGCACTTTGTAACCTGTACTTTACAAAAATTTCATTAGTATTACAAATACTTACCTCAGTCAATTTGCTTAAGTCAGAATGATCCTTGGCCAGTTCTACTGCATCAATGATTGAGGTTTTGATATTCTTATTAATCCTTTCCATTTCACTGAAAGCTAGAGGCTGAGGAGGCAATGCATTCCTGGATGTCTTGTCCAGATGTGGTGAGGCATTTAAAAGAAGCCCATAGATGATTTGCCTGATGGGCTGAGATATTCTGTGGGCATTTGGTTGCTGCATGTTCTCCACCTGTGTGTGAAGAATGGTCCGTCTTAGGACCAAAGCATCACTGATGAAAGGTGATAGCTGGCCTTTAGCTAAAGCCACTAATACCCATTCTGGTAAACCAAGATTCAAGGCATCTGGACAGGCATAAGTACCACACTGGAAGAAGTCCTGCAGCTTCACCCGGGACTGTTGGTATTCTTCCATGGAACCGCACAGAAGTTCCTTAACATTTTCTCGATCCTTTTTTGGGAGGTATTTCAGAACATTATCTAGTGCTTCAGTAGGGTTGGCAAAATGAGACAACCAATTCAGAAGTCCCAGGATTCGGTGGTGTCTCCTCCCTTTAGAACTGGTAGCTCCAAGAGGAAGACGTGCTTTACTTAAGAATGTCTCCATGATAGGTAGATTAATATGGTCATTTCCACATAGCACCGCAAAGAGAGGTAGTAGAGCTTTATTCATATTGCTAAAGTGATGGCAGAATGCATCAAGGGAAAAGCATTTGGCAGGGATATAGTTTTGTGTGCCCTTAATAGTGTTAATATTTCTCCACTGAAAGCTATTCAATGGGCAAAACCCAGTTTTCAGGTCAAAAATGCAAAAGTCACTATCTGACGATAACACAGGGCAATTCCAATGATTAGCAAGTGTCATAATGTCCCGATCTGCTTCTGAAAAGCACTGGACAAAACATACCTGCAGCTTGATCAAAACTTGTATGAATACTTCCCGGATGAGTAAGGGACATACATACCCACTCCCACCAACAGAAAGGGAATGGGCCATCTGGATCTTCTCTCTAGCTCTGTCCTTTAAAGTTGTAAGCTTTTTATCCGAAATGTCACATCCTCCATCTAATACAACATATGGGCATATATTACAAGCAAACAGTGATTCAAAGAAGTTTTGTACAATATCTGCAAAAGAATCATAGTCCCCACCATACCGGAGCTCCAAGTTTGAATTGAAGGAAAGACGGTGGAAAAGAGCATAGCCATCAATGACAATTTTTGTGTCCCGCAACTTCAAATCAGTGAAGAACTCATTACTGTGATCTTCCACAAAACTCATTAGTCCTCGGATACCCATGACGACAGTCTAAAGAATTAATCGCCTGTTTAAAACAACAGAAAGCATTTTCAATTGATGCTGGTTGTAGGGCACCAAGTCATTGCTTCCAGCACCACTAAATCAACAGCAAATGTTATGAAGTGTTCTTTAGATAGAACATAGATATCAACATCCATAAATTCTTACCTAGATCCTCAAGCAATGTTAGCGGTTTGCTTTTTCATTCTCCTCTGCTTTCTGATACAAAGCACAAACTCAATGGTTTCATGGGTTGTGATCTTTGGATGGTGACAGAGGCTGCTGCTAATTCTAAAGAAAAACCATTAAAGTCCATTACTGACACACAAGTATAGAAGTTCTCTGAACTTTGATTCTGAAGTGGTAATAGTCAACATCTTACAGCACAGAGTATTTGTTTTGTGGGGTCAAAGTAAAAAGTCCTAAGCTTAAAAAATGGTATCATTATTCATCTCATAATCACAAAGCATTTGGGCTTCAGTAAAGTGAGTCGTGTAGGACCTATGATAGTGATCAAGTTTTTCTTTTGTATTGATAGTCACGGAACTTCTTTCAGACTTTAGGCTTGCGGGCCCTTCTTAATTGGCATAGTTTTTGGTATAAGGAAAACTGCTTCATGCCTCTAGGAACCCCTCTATCCAGTTACACCCCTAACCACGAGCTCTTTTCATCGTCTTTTTTTTTTTTTTTTTTTTTTTTTTTTGAGACGGAGTCTCGCTCTGTCTCCCGGGCTGGAGTTGCAGTGGCCGGATCTCAGCTCACTGCAAGCTCTGCCTCCCGGGTTCACGCCATTCTCCTGCCTCAGCCTCCCGAGTAGCTGGGACTACAGGCGCCGCCACCTCGCCCGGCTAGTTTTTTGTATTTTTTAGTAGAGAAGGGGTTTCACCATGTTCACCAGGTTGGTCTCGATCTCCTGACCTCGTGATCCACCCGTCTCGGCCTCCCAAAGTGCTGGGATTACAGGCTTGAGCCACCGCGCCCGGCCTGTTTTGTTTTTGAGATGGAGTCTCGCTCTGTCGCCCAGGCTGGAGTGCAGTGGCACGATCTCGGCTCACCGCAAGCTCCGCCTCCTGGGTTCACGCCATTCTCCTGCCTCAGCCTCCCGAGTAGCTGGGACTACAGGCGCCCGCCACCTCGCCCGGCTAATTTTTGTGTGTGTGTTTTTAGTAGAGACGGGGTTTCACCGTGTTAGCCAGGATGGTCTCGATCTCCTGACCTGGTGATCCGCCTGCCTCGGCCTCCCAAAGTGCTGGGATTACAGGCGTGAGCCACCGCGCCAGGCCTTCATCATCTTATTTTGCGTATCTGGCCCAGTTACTCTTCCTCATCTGGCTAACTTAACTCGCAGGATCAGAATTGATGGTTTTTCTTTTGGCGCCTCAGACTTCAATATGGTGCAGCACGGTACTGTTACATTAAAATCGTGACATTTTGTCACTCATGGATTTTTTTTTGCAGTAATTTCGATTTTTAGAGATATTGCATTAAAACTTATCTTGATTACTGAATTTTATTGAGATCCATTTACATTTTACACTTACCTCACGCTAGTCCCAGCCCTGTCAGTATCTCAGAACCCTATCCTGTATAGTACTTTTTTCTTTGCAAGGCAGTCTTGTAAAGCGTCGACAAGCAGAGACCCTGTCAACTCGTCCTATGCAAATTACAGGGCCTTGCATAGACAGTTGCACATAGCTGCACAGGGAAAAGGCGGGCAAAAGGTTTGACCTAAGTCTTCAAACACAGGCCTTCACACACCGTGCCACCTCGGCCCTCACAACCCGCCGCCCGGACCTGCAGCAGAGCCCACCTGCTCTTTCCTCCCAAAGGAGTAGCTCCTCCTTCAGAAGCCTGCTAGAGCCCAGCGAGGACTGGCTCCTGCACGTGAGAGTTCAACCCCAAGAGCGGGAACCGGAAGTATCCCGTGTGACGTCTCTGGGAAGTACACTTCCGGGATGCCGGTGGCGCCAGACTGCGCCAAGGCGCAGGTGCTCCCGGGCCCGGAGGCGCTAAGTAGCTAAAGAGGGCTGGGACGTACGTTCCGAAGTGGCTACCGTCAGGCTAGGAAAGCTTGGCCCGCCGGTCCTCCTCGCCTTTCTCCGCCTACTTGGGTCGGCGGACACTTCCGCCTTGCTGCAACCTCATCCCGACTTCCCAGTATGCCCCGCGCCGTCTCCCTGGCGACGGTTCCAAACACCCGTGGCCCGCCGTCTCTGGCGGTCGGTGGGTGCGGTTGCCCCTAGTTTGAGGCCTGCTCGATTACTGGCAAGACTTGGGCAAGCCCCGGGGGCCGCTCCGACCACAAGAGGGAAAGGTAAAGCGAACTGTGTTCCTCGGGGCTCGCCAGGCTGCCCTGCAAGGGGGAAGGTAATGGTTTCAAGCTGTCCGGGCTGGGTTCCGAATCTCTAGGACTCCATGGCTGCGGTCTCCTAGCTTTCCTGGACGTCTTATCTCCGGATTTACTCCATTCTCAGTGCCCCTCAATAAACGTTAACCTGCTTTGCCAAAATGTAAATGTTTAAAAAAGTGAAGAAGCACGGAATTGTTCGTTTTACCTTAAGGTTAAGGTTTACTTTAAAGGTAGATTTCTACTATAGCAGAACCTGGTGACAAATTGGCTTCCTCTTATTACCTGGGAAGGTAACTACTGATTTTTGACTTGTGATAAATACTCCTCCTTCCGTTGTCTTTTGCCCCCAGTCAAATCTGTTTCACCGAGAAGGGGTAGTTTGCACAAGTGGTAACTTTCTCCAAGTTCCCATCTAGCTTTCTTAACCAACTTTTTTTCCCTCCTTTGGGCGGGAGTTGATCTGCTGGACACTTATTTGCCCTAACAAGATTTATTAAACACCTAATATATGCCAGGGGTTATGCCAGGGATTGGAGATGCAGAAATAACGAAGATGTGTTCGCAGTGCCCAAGTTCACGCACAAACCTCGAGGGGGAGGGTGTTGTCAAGTGAACAGATAGTTCTAGAATCTAGACAATGCGAAACATTCTTGGGTAGGTTTATGGTTGCACAGAGGAGACTGATGGAATGGATGACCTAAAAGTGGACTGGAATGGGGGTGGCAGGGCTGAGTCTGTGAGGTTGGGCGGGAGGGAACCCTAGTCCCAGAGTCTTCTGCAGCCTGGACCAGACTGCTTAAGCACTGCTGGGTTTAGACTGTCCTTTAGAAATAGGAGCCTCTAGAAGTGAACTTCTCATAACTATTCTGTCCGTCCGTAATTCTGTCCTTCCCTAAAGGGAACCTTAATCTCATCTTTAAGGAGAATTACTGAGTGACCTGAAGGACCCTTTTCGGTTGGAAAGGCTGTAAGTCCATATATTTATTTGAACAACTTAGTATGGCCAAACGGCATCACTTTTATGACAGTGAAGGGGAAGTAAAAACGAAAGGTGCATTTAGAGGCCTGCTCTCTAGTTGTTTTTTTCAGCAGATTTTACTAACATGTCTTTGGAAGGGAAAAAAAAAGCTGGCAACTAATCTCATTGGTATCAGGTACAACTTAACTGGTTAATACATTTTAAGAAGGAAAATGTTGTAAATGGGCATTTACTTACGTTCTGTTTTGAGATTTTTGTGGTTAATTGCCCTAGTAGTTTTTGTGGTTGACGGACACCATCACGTAAGGCCCATTGACCATCCTTAAAAACTACGTTTTTGTCTCATAGCTTTGGAATTGTTGAATATGAAAACCTAGCTTCAAGGTATAAGCAGTTTTCAATTTAAAAGGTTATTTCTATATAGATTTAAAACAAAAGCACACTTTTCTTGATAACTAACAAAACATTTAACATTCTGATGGAATAAAAATGATTTTACTTTGTACCTACTCATATGAAACAGTCCTGCCTTTCTTTTTTTTCTTTCTTTCTTTTTTTTTTTTTTTTTTTGTTGTTGAGATGGAATCTCGCTCGGTCGCCCAGGCTGCAGTGCAGTGGAGAGATCTGGGCTCGCTGCAAGCTCTGCCTCCTGGGTTTACACCATTCTCCTGCCTCAGCTTCCCGAGTAGCTGGGTCTATAGACCTGCCACCACGCCCGGCTAATTTTTTTGTAGTTTTAGTAGAGATGGCTTTCACTGTGTTAGCCAGGATGGTCTCGATCTCCTGACCTCGTGATCTGCCCGCCTCAGCCTCCCAAAATGCTGGGATTACAGGCGTGAGCCACCGCGCCCAGCCTAAACAGTCTTGCCTTTCATAACTGTCACATCTCATAGCTCCCTGAAGAATTACAGATACATGTGTAACATTTATATTCCACTGACATTAAATGCAATTTTAGGTTTGAATTGAATTTGTTAACTCTTCCTGTTTTTAATCCAGAGAGATTATACACAATGTGTACAATAGGAACTTTAGAAACTAGAATTTGCTGAGCATGGGAAAAAATTCTCTCTGAATCCTTATCTCTCTTTGCATCTGTTCTAATAAATGCAAAAACTGTGGTTTAACATCTACAGAAAAAAAAAATCTAAAGAAAACAGCACCTGCTAATTCCTTGTTTAATCCTAACTCTCTCTTTGTAAACCAAAGTAAACATAAGGTGGGAAGAGGGCATTACAAAAAGGTTGATGCAGATATATAGATTTAAGGAAGTGATAATGTTCTTGTATTTGGAGTCTTTTATAAGTAGGTGGGGAGTATAAATCTTAAATGAAGAGATTGTTGATTGTAAAACAGATGTCCATCCCAGATATTTGTGGAAAGTTGGCTCCAGTTCAGTTCTGCCAAATTTCAATGTACAAAGGGAGGCTCTTCCTGTGAAGGATTGCCTTCTACTGGAATTTGTGGTATTTGTACCTTTTAACATTTTTCTTTCAAGTCGTTAACCAATATGGTGTCATTCAGTCTGCTGATCAAGGTGCAGATAATCACTGCACTTATACTTTTTGTTAGAGATCGTTTAGCATCCTTTAGACCTGATCTTTGAATTTTTCATCTTTAAGGAATTGACCAACACTGTTTGGATGAATTTGACCATTTCTTAGGAGACTCGAATGTTAAGTTTCTATAAATGAATGAACCAGTTCTCTGTTGTTTGGAGCAATGCTGAAATTCCAAGAGGCAGCTAAGTGTGTGAGTGGATCAACAGCCATTTCCACTTATCCAAAGACCTTGATTGCAAGAAGATATGTGCTTCAACAGAAACTTGGCAGTGGAAGTTTTGGAACTGTCTATCTGGTTTCAGACAAGAAAGCCAAACGAGGAGAGGAATTGTAAGTAAAAATACTTTGTATGAATCTTGAGTAGGCTGCTTTTTGTTTGCAGGTCTTAGCTGATTAAGAACATGAAGGAGGCCAGGTATGGTGGCTCATGCCTGTAATCCCAGCACTTTGGGAGGCCAAGGCGGGCAAATCACTTGAGGCCAGGAGTTCAAGATCAACCTGGCCAATATGGCAAAACCCTGTCTCTACTAAAAATACAAAAATTAGCCAGGCAGGGTGGTACATGCCTGTAATCTCAGCTACTCGGGAGGCTGAGGCACAAGAATTGCTTAAACTCAGAAGGCAGAGGTTGCAGTGAGCCGAGATCATGCCACTGCACTCCAGCCTGGGCAACAGAGCAAGACTGTAGGAAAAAAAAAAAAAAAAAAGAGCATGGAGCAATGTCCACTTTGCTCTTTATACCAAACCAAGTATTTCATGAATATAGGTAAGCTCCCTAATTAGTCTTTCATATTAGGTTTAAAGACATTTCAGCAGGTGAATATAATATCCAAATGACCTCAAGAAGGGAGCTAGAAATGGGAAAGATTATGTGAAAATAAGATGTTTGGGCATGCCACAGTCTCAGTGACAATATTGCTTCCACTTAACTTGATTGGAACTTCTTGAATGAGAAAATAAGAATTGTTCATCATGACTATTTTCAGAAATATTACAAAATACAAATGAACAGTTATTAACATTTGAGATGAATAGGGTATACCGAAGAAAGTACAGTATTAATTTTCTTTGGGCTTTCTATGGCGGAGATTTTCAAATTCCGTAATCAGAAAGCCGTCAGATTAAATACTTAAACCAAATGGACACTCCCATTTAAAATTAGCTTATGTTGATGACCGCCTTCTCACCTCGTCTCTGTTGATTATAATCGGACCCTATACACTTTGATAATAGAGAAAAACTCTTAAAAACTTTAGATAGTACCTCCCTTGCAGATAAACCTCCATTTTTGGTGTAAAGTTTTTTTAATTTCCTGCAGTGGAAAGTAAGTTGGAACTGAAGTTAGGGTAAGAAACTTGCCTATCAGAAACGCAGGAGGAACAGAAAGCAGAAGGGAGAATGATCCAAGATATCAGCCCTTAACCCCAGAAGACCACATTTTCATCCCATAGTTTATTGTTTTCTTCTGAGGTTTTAAGGCTACTCTAAGTTCTTCCAGCTTTTGCCTATTGGATATTTCAGAGTGGATTTAAAATAAACACTTTTCTACATCCTCATAGGTTATAGGAATTGTAAAGGTAAATGTTAGTGATGTTACTACTTTGTTTTGAAACTCAACCTTTTAAATGGTCTCTGTCCAGAATTTTTAAAAGCTTTAATTATCTAGAATTTATAGTTTTTAGTTAATTTCTACATGAGGGATGATAAAAGAGCTGGCATTTTTCTGATGTCCTTAGAACATGCATTATGATTCCTACTGAAAAGGATTTTTTTCCTTTAATCCTAGAGGTGCTCTTCTAGCCATTTAGAATAGAATGATAAATTTCTGACAATTATTAGAGAACCTTTATGGAAACATTGAGAGTAAGACCTAAACCAGACCCAATACTTCTAAAAACTACACTATAGGATCATATCCAATTTTAATTTCTTCAACTAATGAGGAATATGAAAAATTTTAAGATAATTCACAGGAGGACTAAAAAGTTGATTAAAAGGATGTAAAATAAGATGTATGAAGATCAAACTTGAAACCTTTAGACTTGAGATAATGAGTGAGTGGAGAGAGTGTATTTGTAGTTGGGGGAAGAGAGAGAGAAAGAGAACGAGAGAGAAGAAAGGGGGCTGGGGCTGGTTGGTTGGTAAGTGATTTGTTAGTGATTTTTCTTGTACCTGAACCAGTCTTAAAAAAGTATGACCAGAGCTGAAGATGGCAGACAGAGTCTGTGTTTGTGGAATGAATCCAATAGTGCGGATAACGGACAAAAATCATTTGGCACCAGAAGGTCTCATCCAGAATCTCTGGGAAAGGAATCTTTCATCATCAGAATCTAAAACATATTGCATACTGGCCACATGTGGCTTTCAGATGTCTTTTATTTGGTCTGGGTAGTGTTTCTTTTTAGTAAATTAGTCAGTTTTTTTGTTTTGTTTTGTTTTGTTTTTTGAGACAGAGTCTCACTCTGTCGCCCAGGCTGGAGTGCAGTGGCATGATCTTGGTTCACTGCAACCTCCACCTCCCAGGTTCAAGTGATTCTCCCACCTCAACCACCCAAGTAGCTGGGATTACAGGAGTGCACCACCACACTCGGCTAATTTTTGTATTTTTAGTAGAGACAGGGTTTCACCATGTTGGCCAGGCTGGTCTTGAACTGTTGACCTCAGGTGATCCTCTCACCTTGGCCTCCCAAAGTGCTGAGATTACAGGCATGAGCCACCGTCCCTGGCCAGTAGTTAGTATTTTTAAATGAGCAGCTCATATAAATTGAGCATTTTGTCTTCTCTGGAAAAAAAAAAAAAAAAAAGATTTGGTAACGCTTGCTAACATCAGTTCGTGTGTAGCCACAATGGGCTGCTGAGGCTAGGTAGCAGCTACTCCTTTAGACAAATTCTGTATTCTCCAGTTAGCCACATTCCTGCCTCTCCTCACTGTGTCTTGCATACAGCTGCATCACACCTCTCCACTGCCTGCCAACCTTGTAGACAATTGCTTTTAGAATTATTTGCTAAAATCAGAAAAAAGTGTGAATGTGACTACTCACAAAGTTCTAGAATGCTATAATAGAAACAGAGCAGTGTGGTGTCATTGTTAAAATACCAGCTCTGGATGTAAAGAAGGAGTAAAGCCAGGCCTGTTCTTAATGTGAAGTCTAGATTCTGCACATTCCTAATCTGAGCTTTGGTTTTCTCATCTTTAAAATGGGTATAATACCTCATAGGACTGTAATAATAGTACGATATCTGCCTATTTATGTAAGATTTAGATATCACATTGCGTCGCTCATAGTTATCCCTCAAAAGCAGCACAGATTCACCTTAATTATAAACAATCCATGTTAAAGGAATGATTAAAGGAAGCCTAACAAAACTTTAGCTAATTACCACCCAATGACTGCAATTGGAAACTTCTAATAAATGGAAGTTTTTTTTGGATTACTTTTAAATGAGAAAAATTTCCCAAATAAACCAATCTGAAACCAGGAATGTAATTTAAAAAACTTATTCAATGATTTTTCTTGAGATTGTAACAATTCTGTTGTCGTCTTTTATATCTCTGTGGCTGTCCAAAATAAATTTGTTCTCAAAATGTGAACCTTTTAGCTAAGATATCAACTCATCAGTGATTGTTATGTTTAATGCATGTATGGAGGCAGGAAACTAAACTCGTTTTTTTTTTTTTGTTTTTTTTTTTTAGTGTTGATACTGAATCATTTGTGAGCAAAGCACATTATAGCACTACTCATTGTCCAAGCAATTTGACTAGATATGGTTTTAAATTATGGTTTACATGCTAGACATAGGGAATTGGTTAATGTGAGAGGTGGCTAGAAGGTGAATACTTTTTAGAGATTTTTATAATGGTATGAATGCTATTTCTTCAACACATCAGAATAGGTATGACTTCCCTTTTTGTTTTGCAGATACACCCTTAACTTTTTGAGCTCATGAGGAAGGTATCAGACTCTCCCTTGGTATCAGTGTTAAAGGAGTGACTTGGGTAGACCATAAGTTTGTAGGACTTATGACTAGTTCCTATGAAGTACAGATTCCTTATATACGTTTCTAGATTTAATCAGAACTTGACAAAATGGAAGAGCTATATGTACATAGTACTTTTCAATCAAAGTATTGCAATTCATCATTTTGCCACCTGGGGGCATCACTCCACCATTGACATTTTGCATATGGGATGACCTGTAATTTACAATGTAAATACCATATTCCTTTACATTTTTATTGACTTTCTGAATTAGCTGTGAGATTAAAATAAAAGCTACAGACATTTCACTTGCTTGATGCATGTTTGTAGAGTTTTCTTTCTGGCATAAATGTTGGGCATCCCTTTTTTCATTATAACAGTAGAATGAAATTAAACTGTTAAAATGCGTAGTGAATGGGATAGAGGTTTTTCCTTTATTATGCATCGTGAAAGTCATAAAACAATATTTGAGAATATTTTCTTTCATAATTATAGACACTCTGGTCTAATTATGTTGTCATAGTCCTAAAAAGATTGTGCTAGTTCTTATTCATTTTATTTTGTAGTTTTGTTAAGTTGTCAAAGTATCTTTTCAAAAAATCAAACCCAAAAGATTTGATCAGCCAAGAAACTATTTTGGCCCTTAACATTAGCATAGTGCATGTAATTTAATAGAAAAGAGATGTTAAGGAAATAGGTTTACCCTAAAATACGTGATTAAACTTGTAATTAATCATGGCCACAGCTGCAATGAATTTCAACATTCATCTTATTGGCATAGAATGTTTGTGATAATGATTTTTTAAAAATTTATCGCATTTAAGATACAGTGATCTTACTATGCAGAGCTGGTTTTCTGCTATAGTCTGTTTTAATCTGTCAACTATTAAGTATTTAATACAATTTAAATATTAAACCTTTGCTTTGGACTCAGCACGAGAGAGGAAACTGAGGCAGTAGGCGATAAGGCCTGGCCCTCAGGTGCTTCCAGTCTGGAAGACTAAATCAGTACACACAAAACAACTAGTATACAGCACAAGACAATGCTTAAATATCTGTGTGGCAGGTTGCACTTGGAGATGTTGGAGTGGCCACTGCCTAACTCCCTTCCTAGCTGAATATGGTAATTATCTTACTTGTTTCTATGTACTATCTAATTTATGAGTATTTTCCCCCTTGGTCCTATCCATGTACATATCCAAACATTTTTCCCCTTAACTGTGATCCTACACCTTGGTCTTTGCCTAAATATGGGAAAAATGGTAAACATGGAAATGTTCTATCTCTACAGAAGGCATTTTTCCCCCCTCTATCTCATATGTCTGCCTAAGATGATGATCAGGAATTAAAT